TGACTGCCTCATTGCCCTCTTCATCCCCAGGGTCCCAGACTGTCCCTGACCATGTCCCCAAAGCCCCTGTCCCCCTTCCATCCACAGGATCCTGGACTATCCCTGTCCCCCCATCCCCTCCATTTCCAGGGTCCCTCCATCCCCACCCACGTCCCCATGTCCCCTCCCGGTGTCCCCACCTTGCCAAAGACGGTGTTGAGGAAGGGGGAGTAGGTCTTGGTGGCAGCAGCGTGGGGGTCCACGGGAGCCTTCTTCCCACTCTTCTGCCCGTGCCCGCCGTGCCGGGACTCAGAGCCGGAATTCTTGGGGGCCGGGGCACCGACGTCCTCGGGGGCTTTGGGGGCTTTCTCGCCCTCCTCGTGCCCCCCTTTCCCCTTCTGCGGGGGCTCCGTGTCCTTGGGGGTCCCCTTGTCCCCGCGGGAGCGTGGCATGGGGCCGGGGCCGGGCGGGCAGCGGGCGGGCAGGGAGCGGGACCCCGGGATGGCCGAGCAGGAGGAAGGAGCAGGGAAATCCTCTTACACCCCCCGTGACCCCCCCAAACTCCCCCCGCCGTGGGCCCGCCAGGGCAAAGCCAATTAGCGGTGATTAATGGCAGGAAACAGCCACGGCCACCGGCCCCCGGGCACAGCCACGCGGCCACCGCGTCCCGGCCACCGGACAGGTCCCCACCCGCGTCCCGGGGTCACACCGAGAGGCCCCGAGTCCGGAGGTGACACCCCACAGCCACCAGTGTCCCCAGCATTGCCCAGTGCTCCCAGCGGTGACACACCCCAAAGTGTCCCCAGAGCAACCCACGTCCCCAGCGGGGACACCGCAAGGCCACCACTGTGTCCCCTCACCTGGCACCTGTCCCCGAGCTCCCTCCACCTCTAAGGTGGGTCCCTTTACTGTCCCCCAGGATGGGGACTGGTGGCGTGTCCCCAAGACATGACCGAGCATGGGCACAGGGTGCCACAGCGGGCTCCAGAGGGGAGGGACCCCCAAAATGAGAGCGGGGAAAGCCCGGCCCAGGGGTGACCCTGGCTGCTGTGTCACCGCGGGGTGACACAGAGGGCCGACACTGGTGGGGGTGGCAGTGCCCCCTTGTCATTCGCTGCCATTGCCCCTGTGCCAGCCGCCACTGTCACCTCTGTGCCACCCACTGACGCTGTCGCCGCTCCCGCCGCCCCCGACACCGGCACCGGCCCCGGGCACCGACCCGCCGGTGAGTGCGGGCACCGGTACCGGGCACCGAGCCCCGTCCCGACCCGCCGGGCGCGGCCCCCGCGGGCCCCCCATCCGCCTTCCCGGGGCAGCCCCGTCCCCGTTCCCTGCGGGGCCACCGCCTGTCCCTGTCCCCATCCCTGTCCCTCTCCCAATCCTTGTCCCCATACCTAGCGGGGCCACCCCTTCCCCGTCCACGTCCCCGTCCTCGTCCCTGTCCCCATTCCTGTTCCTGTACCAAGCGCGGCCACCACCGGCCCCGTTCCTGACCCCGCCCCCGTTCCCATCCTTTTTCCTGTCCCCATCCTTGTCCCTGTCCTCGTCACTAGCCCTATACAGAATGAGGCCACCACCGTCCCCATTCATGCCCCCCCCCCCCATCCCTATCCTTGTCCCCTTCCCTTTCCCTGTCCCTGACCCCATAGCCAGCAGGGCCACCCCTGTTCCCTGATCTGTTGGAGCTGTCCTTTGCCCTCCTTTCCATCCCCACCCGTTCCCAGAAGGACACCCTTGTCCCTGTCACCATCCTGAATGGGACACTCCCTGTCTCACTCTGAGCCCCCATTTCTGCTTCCTGAGTTCCCTTCAGGGAGCTGGCAGGGAGAGGGGTGCGTCCCCAATTCCTGCCTCCTAGGAGTGGCTGAGCCACCCTTTACCGGGGTGCAAGACAGTGACAAACCCAGTTCAGGGGACACCCCATTCCCAGGCCACCTCCCTGGTGGCCCCACCTCCCATTTTGGGGTATCCCAGCACGCCTGACCAGGGCCGGGGCGCTCCCCAGCCATGTCCTTCCGGAAGGTGGTGCGGCAGAGCAAATTCCGGCACGTGTTCGGGCAGCCGGTGAAGACGGACCAGTGCTACGATGACATCCGCGTGTCCCGCGTCACCTGGGACAGCACCTTCTGCGCCGTCAACCCCTCCTTCGTCGCCATCATCGTGGAGGCCAGCGGCGGCGGCGCCTTCCTCGTCCTCCCCCTGCACAAGGTGACAGCAGGGTGGTGACGCGGGGAAGGGGGGGGTTTGTGCTGGTGGGTGACCCCCTCCCTGCTGTCACTGTGTCCCCAGACCGGCCGCATTGACAAGTCGTACCCCACGGTGTGCGGCCACACGGGCCCCGTCCTCGACATCGACTGGTGTCCCCACAACGACCACGTCATCGCCAGCGGCTCCGAGGATTGCACCGTCATGGTGAGGGGTGGCCCAGGATCCCGGGGGGTGGCAGGGGTCACCCCGCTTCGCTCACTGTCCCCTCTGTCCCCTCAGGTGTGGCAGATCCCGGAGAACGGGCTGAGCCAGCCGCTGACGGAGCCGGTGGTGGTCCTGGAGGGCCACTCGAAGCGCGTTGGCATCGTCACCTGGCACCCCACCGCCCGCAACGTCCTGCTCAGCGCGGGTACGGGGGCACACGGCGGGCACGGGGAGGGGGCCGCGCGGCCGAGGTGACCCCTGCCGTGTCCCCCAGGCTGTGACAACGTGGTGCTGATCTGGAACGTGGGCACGGCGGAGGAGCTGTACCGGCTGGACGGGCTGCACCCCGACCTCATCTACAGCGTCAGCTGGAGCCGCGATGGCTCCCGCTTCTGCACCGCCTGCAAGGACAAGAGCGTCCGTGTCATCGACCCCCGCCGCGGCACCGTGGTGGCCGTGAGTGTCCCCATCCCCCCGGGGGGCCTGTGTCCCCAGGACGCTGCCCTGCGCTGGTTCTTGGGGGGAATCCCCTGCTCCCTGCTCTTGTCCCTTGGCGCACCCCGTTGTCCCGCATTCCATGGGTGTCCTTGTCCCCTGGTTCTCCCCGCTGTCCCCTGTCCCTCGGTGCGTGTCCCTGGGGTGCTGCGGGCACCGGTGACAGCCGTGCCCCCCAGGAGAAGGAGCGGGCGCACGAGGGGGCCCGTCCCATGCGCGCCATCTTCCTGGCCGACGGCAAGATCTTCACCACTGGCTTCAGCCGCATGAGCGAGCGGCAGCTGGCGCTGTGGGACACGGTGAGTGGCACCCCGGGGGTCCCCCGGAACCGTTTTGGGGTTCCCCGCCTGCCTGACACCTCATCCCACCCCAGGAGAACCTGGAGGAGCCCATGGGGCTGCAGGAGCTGGACTCCAGCAACGGGGCTCTGCTGCCCTTCTACGACCCCGACACCAACGTGGTCTACGTCTGCGGCAAGGTACGGAGCCCCCCACCCCGCTGGTGGCACCCCCGGAGCCGGGGTCCCCCCTAATGGCGTGTCCCCAGGGGGACTCGAGCATCCGGTACTTCGAGATCACGGAGGAGCCGCCCTACATCCACTTCCTCAACACCTTCACCAGCAAGGAGCCCCAGCGGGGAATGGGCTGGATGCCCAAGCGCGGGCTGGACGTCAGCAAGTGCGAGATCGCCAGGTGGGCGCGGGGACACGGGGGACGAGGTGAGGGACACCCAGAACCACCCGAAACCTTCCATGACCCCCTGTGCTCCCCTGGCAGGTTCTACAAGCTGCACGAGCGCAAGTGTGAGCCCATCATCATGACCGTGCCAAGGAAGGTGGGTGGGATAGGGGAATGGGGGGTGGGGGGACCCAGCAGGGGTCACTGGGCAGGACCTGGTGCAGGGCAAGGGGTCCCTAATCAGTCTGGGTGGGGGTCCCTATGGGGCCTGCCTGTGAGGTCCCTGAGCAGGACATGGGAGCAGTGGGGGGTCCCCGGTGAGGCTGTGTCCCCGCGGTGTCTCTCTGGGGGTCCCCCTGAGGCTGGCACCCCTCTGACGCTCTTGGGGGCAGTCGGACCTGTTCCAGGACGACCTGTACCCGGACACGGCCGGCCCCGAGGCGGCCATGGAGGCGGAGGAGTGGGTGGCGGGGCGCACGGCGGGGCCCGTGCTGGTGTCCCTGCGCCAGGCCTACGTCCCCAGCAAGCAGCGGGACCTCAAGGTGAGCCGGCGGACGCTGCTACACGACAGCCGCGCCACCGCCGCCGCCACCGGGGCCACCACGCCGCCTCCCACGCCCCCCGCGGCCCCCGCCTCCACTCGCTTCAGTGCCCCCCCGGTGCTCGGCTCCGGCAGCGCCACGGTAAGGGGACAAGGGGGACGCGGGGGACAGGGGGACAAGCGGGAAAGGGACAGGGGGTGTGGGCGGTGTGGGCGGGGCTGTGCGATGGGTGCGGTTCCGCTGATGGGCGGTGGGTGGGTGTGGCACTGGGTGTGGCAGTGCTGGGCGTGTCCCGTGACGGGGCTGTCCCTCAGGGAGGTCGCCTGGAGGAGGTGCTGCAGGAGGTGGCGGCGCTGCGGGCGCTGGTGGCGGAGCAGGGACAGCGCATCTCCCGCCTGGAGGAGCAGCTCAGCCGCCTGGAGAACGGCCACGTGTAGGGACCCCCGCAGGGACCACCGCCCCAGGGACCACGCCTGCACCCCAGGGACCCCCCCGAATCATCTCGCCCCCCTGGGGTGCCCCCCCTTTGCCCCGCTCCGGGCCCTTCTCCCACTGGGGGGCTGGCCGCCCCTCTGGCGGCTCCCCGCTTCCCCCCATTGCCTTACTGGGTGCTGCCCCCCCAAGTCATGGACCATTCTCCACCCCGGCCCCCATTCCTCGGGCTTGGGGTTGCTCCTGGGATCAAAGATTACCCCCTGCACCCCCCAGTCCCTGTGTGGGGTCTCCCCCCTTTCTGTGGGGCAGGGCATGATCTGCCTTCCTCAACTGTGAGATACTGTCCCCCCTATATTTTGGGGGCTTTTCCTCCCCTCCTCCTCCTCCTTGCATCCCCCCTCTCCATTCCAGTGCAGGGTCAGAAACTATATTTTCACTCCAAATAAAGGATTTATAAGAAAAGCGATGGCTGCAGGGCCACCTGCAGGGTGACAGAGCGGGGGCAGGAAGGCGCAGCAGTCACGGGTGGGAGCTCAGCGCCTCGGCAGGAAGTGGGGGGGAACGGGGCGGCATTTTGGGTAGCAGGGGTGAGGGGGGTGCAGCGCTCGGCCCCCCCCCGCTCTGGCACATCCGCTGCGCGGGGCAGGAAGTCGGGGGGGGGCTCCCCCATCTCGGAGCGTGCCCGCGGCATCGGGACCCGCTCTGGCTGCACCCAGTGATGGTGAGCACCCCAAAACCGGGCAGGGTGGGAGATTGGGGGGCTGGGAGCCGAGGGGATGTTGGGCAGGCTGGGGGAGTCAGGATCAGGGAGCCAGAGTGAGTGAGGTTGGGGGCAGTGGGAGAGTAAGGGGAGTCTGGAATGTTTGGGGGGATGAGGGGAGCACAGTGGGGCTGGGGGGGTGCAGGGGAGCGTGGTGGGCTTGGGGGGCAGGTTTTGGGGTGGGCTCGGGGGCTGTGCAGCCACGGTGAAGACTGCGAGTGCCGCGTTTGGGCGGCCCTGGGGCTTTGGCAGGGGGTGCTGTGGGGCTGCAGCCCCGTGGGCAGGGACGAGGGATTCTAGGGGGGCTGTGCAGCCGTGCGGGGTGGCAGGACCCGGTTCCTCTCCCCCGCCACCTGCGGGTGCTGCTGCGCCCGCCACCCACGGCTTCCGCCCCGGGGGTCACCTCCCCCTCCCGGCCCTTGTCCTCTGCCCCTGTACCTTGCCCCCGGCCCTTCCCTGCATCCCAGCTCCGGGAAGCCACGTGCCCGGCTGTGAGCCCGCTGCCCTCCCCGCAGGCTGCCCCGCGCTGGCACCCGCTGCTGCTGCTGCCGCTGGCGGGCCCGGCGGCGGCCGGGGAGCCCGCGGTGGCCCGCAGTGACCGGGCGGTGGCCGCGCTGCTGGCGCTGCTGCTGTGCCTGGCGGTGGGGCTGGCGCTGGCCTGGCACCACCTGTGCCGCATCTCCGCCGGCCGGTACCACCCGCGGCCCCTGGGCCGCCGGGCGCTGCAGCTGCTGCGGGGACAGTGGCACCGGCTGCGCGCACCGGGGGACCCCGCCGCGGCCCTCGGGGACGGCGACGGGGAGGTGGCCGTGCGGGACGACCAGGAAGAGCTGATGCCATGGAGCCTGGAGCGGCGGCCGCAGCAGGAGGAGGAGGAGGATGAGCAGGAGGAGGATGAGGAGGAGGAGGATGAGGAGGAGGCCGAGGCAGCGCCGGAGGGCGGGGAGAGCCCCCTGAGTGAGGGGCAGGCGGCGGGGGGCAGCGCCGAGGCCCTGCTCAGTGACCTGCACGCCTTCTCGGGGACAGCGGCCTGGGGGGACGCGCGGCCACACGTCACCGCCTTGTGACATCACCCTCCTGACGTCACCACCCTTTGATGTCATCACCCTGTAGTGTGACACCACCCTGAAGTGTCATCACCCTGTAATGTCACCTCCCTGTAGTGTCACCTCCTTGTAGTGTCATCTCCCTGTAATGTCACTGCCCTGTAATGTCACCACCCTGTAGTGTCACCTCCCTGTAGTGTCACCTCCCTGTAATGGCATCACCCTGAAGTGTCACCTGCCTGTAATGTCACCGCCCTGTAATGTCACTGCCCTGTAGTGTCACGTCCCCGTAGTGTCACCTCCCTGCAGAGTCACCTCCCTGTAATGGCATCACCCTGAAGTGTCACCTGCCTGTAATGTCACCTCCCTGTAATGTCACCACCCTGTAATGTCACTGCCCTGTAGGGTCACGTCCCCGTAGTGTCACCGCCCTGCCAGCAAAGGGACCCCTTCTCTGTCCCCTGCCAGCCCCCCGCCGAGGCTCCTGATTGGCTGCAGGGGCCTTGTCCGGGTTTGCACTGACCAATAAAAGAGCAGCTCTGGGGGCAGAGCAGACCGGGGGCGTGGTTTGCAGAGAAGTGGGTGGAGCCAACGAAAGGGTGTGACAAATGGGAGGAGCCTAAAACCAGGGCGGGGCATCACACGGGGGTGGAGCCTGGACCCACCCTCCCCACCCCTACCTGGGCACCCGCCCCCGGCCCCCCTTCTGCTTCTTGGCCCCCCCCGAGGGTTTGATGGGCAGGGGGGCCGTGCCCTCGGGCGGGGGGGCCTGGGGGGGCCCCAGCTCCATGGGGTCGCCTGGGGCCACTGGCTTGAACGCCTCGAAGGGGGAGAACTTCACAGGGCTGGGGGGGGACACATGAGGGGGTGAGTGGGGCACCCACAGAAGGCAAGGAAGGGGGGGCAGCCAGTGCCCACAGAGCTCCTTCCCCACCCCCGGAGGCCCCAACTCCCCCCACGCTCCATGAACCTCCCCTGCTCCTTCTTCACCCCCCCGGGGTTCACCCTGATTCCCTCACCCCAAAGCACCCCAAACCCTCACCCCACTGCCCCCACAGCCTCTCTACTCCCAGGATGGGACAGGTTGAGCCCCCCAATTGCACCCCCAGCATTGTCCCCTGTCACCACCTTGGTGCCCACCCTGAAACCTCCATCCCAAAACACTTCCATCCCAAAGCCCCCCACCCCAAGTGCCCCCTGCCCCCCGGTACCTGACGGGGGTGCGGGGGCTGCTGTTGAGGCGGCGGGGAGAGCGCACCTTGGGCTGGAAGGAGAACCCCTCCTTGATGCTCTCCAGCACGGAGGGGGCCACGTAGGTGAAGCCCTGCGGGTTTGGGGGTGTCACCGGGGGGGCCTGGGCGTGCCAGGGGCCCCCCCTGGGGCTGTGCCCCCCTACCAGGAAGGCCTGGTTGGCGCTCTCGCTGATGGCAGCGTCGTCGGGGCTGTCCACGGGGGTCTGGCGGGTGAAGCGGGTGTCGAACTGGCTCACGTCCTCCTCCGACTGCTGCGGGGAACACGGCGGCTGCTCCCACGGGGCCCCCCAAAACATCCCCAGCCTCCCCCCTCGGCCCCCCATACCAGGCAGGGTTTGAAGGGGGGGTCCAGCCTGCGCGCCAGCAGGTCCTCCCAGTTGATGTGGCGGAAGAAAGGCTGTTTCTGTGGGGTTTGGGGGGGGTCAGGCAGGGTTTGGGGGGCGTCCCCTGACACCCAGGACACGGCGGCTGCTCCCACGGGGCCCCCCAAAACATCCCCAGCCTCCCCCCTCGGCCCCCCATACCAGGCAGGGTTTGAAGGGGGGGTCCAGCCTGCGCGCCAGCAGGTCCTCCCAGTTGATGTGGCGGAAGAAAGGCTGTTTCTGTGGGGTTTGGGGGGGTCAGGCAGGGTTTGGGGGGCGTCCCCTGACACCCCCTGCCCACCCACCCCCGTACCTGCACATCGGCCGCGTCACCGGGGCCACCCCCAACCCTCTGGCTGGGGTTCCGCTTGAGGAACTGGAAGAGAAACAGGGACAGAGATGGGATTGGGGGGGAGGACCTGCATAAATAAAGGTGGGGGGAGGCGGAGGAGGGAAGTTTTGGGGGGGGAGCACCTTCTTGAGGAGGTCACGAGCGTCGGGCGTCAGGTAGGGCGGCAGCACCAGCTTCCCCTTGAGGATCTTGTCGATGGTCTTCTTGCGGTTCTCGGCGGTGAACGGCGGCTGTGGGGGCACGGGGGGGCCATGAAGAGCCAGGCGGGGCCAGGAAGGCTCGGGGTCACCCCGGGGTTGTCCCCCCAGTCCCCAGGGAGGAGGGAGCAGCAGCGGGACTTGCCGATCCGGTGAGCATGTCGTACATCAGGGCGCCCAGGCTCCACCAGTCCACCGCCCGGTTGTGCCCGCTCCGCACCAGGATCTCGGGGGCCCTGGGGGGTGCAGGGGGGGCCCTGAGCGGACGGGAGGCCAGGACAAACCCCCCCAAATTCCCCCCAGTGCTGCATCCACCTCACATGTACTCGATGGTGCCGCAGAAGGTGTGGGTGACGGCTCCGTCGTGGATGGACTCCTTGCACAGCCCGAAGTCCGTCAGCTTGATGTGACCTGAGGGACGTGGCGGGGTCAGCACTGCCCCCAGAGAATCCCCCAGGCTCCCCAGTTTGTCCCCCACACCCACCTTGGCTGTTGAGCATGATATTCTCTGGCTTGAGATCCCGGTAGATGATCCCATGGGAATGCAGGTGACCCAGTGCCAGCGTGATCTCACTCAGGTAGAAGCTGCAGCGGGATGGGGGTGGCTGTGAGCGATGTCGGGGTGCCCACCCCATCCACACCCACCACCATCCTCATCCCTACCAGGCAGTGTCCTCCAGGAAGATCCCTTCCCGCTCCAGCTGCATGAAGAGCTCTCCACCTGCACAAAGAGGCCAAGAGGGACCCTCCTGAGCCATCCCTGGGCACTCCTTAATCACCCCTGGGAACATCTGAGCCATCCTGAGACACTCTGTAGCCATCCTGGGACACCCTTAAAGCACCCTGGACCCCCTGAGCCACCCCTGGACACCCTCCCTGGACACTGTGGCCACCCCAGCTCACACTTTAACCATCCCTGGATATCCTGAGCCACCCCTGGACACTGTAGCCAGTCCAGGTCACACTTTAACCATCCCTGGACATCCTGAGCCATGCCTAGACACCCTCCCTGGACACTGTAGCCACTCCAGGTCACACTTTAACCATTCCTGGACACCCCGAGCCATCCCTGGAACCCCTTGAGCCACCCCTGGGACAATCTGTAGCTGTCCCTGGAGTAATCCCCGGTGCCCCGAGCTGCCCCGCACCGCTGAGGCACTCCAGGATGAGGTAGAGCTTGCCGCCCGTCTGGAAGGCGTAGATGAGGTCGACGATGAAGGGGTGCTTGACGGCCTCCAGGATGTTCCTCTCCGCCCGGGTGTGCGCCGTGTCCTTGGCGTTGCAGGCGATCTTGGCCTGGGGGGGAGGCGGTGAGCGGAGGGGGTCCCCGGGGGGTTTGGGGGGGCCGGGGCGGCCCTACCTTCTTCAGGACCTTCATGGCGAAGATCTTGCCCGTGTTGGTGCCCTGCACTTTGCGCACCTGGAACACCTGGAAGGAGGGTCAGGGAAGTTGGGGACGCCGTCAGGGAGCGCTGGAACCCCCCCGAGGCCCCCAGCCCCGCCGTGTGCCCACCTTGCCGTAGCCGCCCTTGCCCAGGACGCGGAGCAGCTCGAAGCAGTGGGGGCCGATGTGCTCGGGGCCATTGTTGACGCTGCTCTCGGAAATCTCGATCTCTTCATAGTGTCCCACCGGCCTGGCGGGAGAGAGGGTGAGCGGGGACAGCCCCCTGCCTGTGTCCTGCCTGTCCCCTGCCTGCATACCCCCCTGCAGGCTGTCCCCCACTTACTCCAGGCCGTTTCCCCGGGGCTCCAGTTCCATCTCCTGCGGGAGGGAACTCGCGGTCAGGGGTGCGCAGGGGCGAGCAGCGGGCAGGGGACGCATGGCAGGGAGGGGACACATGGCAAGGAGGGCAGACACAGCAGAGAGGGGATCCACGGCAGGGAGGGGACACATGGCAAGGAGGGGAGCCACGGCAGGCAGGAGCCGGGCAGGAGCCGGGCAGGACACGGCAGCGCGGGGCGAGGCAGCGCCGAGCCGGCCCAGCCGGATGTTTTGGGGCCGAGGCCGGGCCCTGCCCAGCGGGAGCCGCCCGCTGCCCGCCCGGGATCCGCGGCTGCCCCCGGTGCCCGGGCGCCCCGTCCCCGCGGACAGCCCGGCTACAACCGGGTCCCGCCACCGGCGGGACCCTGTCACTGCCCCTGTCGCTGTCCCCCCAAGCCCCTGCCCGCCGTTCCCGGCACCGAGCGGACCCCACGCACCCCCGACACCCCCGATCCCGCGTCCTCACCGCGCCCCGGTGCCGCTCACCGCCTCCACCGCCCGTCCCGCCGCCGGTGCCCCCCGTCCCCGCGGCGCCCCCCGCCCCAGCCCCGCTGCCGGTCGCAGCCCCGGTGCCCCCCGCGCCCCGCTGCCGGCTCACGGCGCCCAGCTCGGGCTCGTCCCCGTCGCTGCCCTCCTCGGTCTCCAGGTCGATGTCGAACACCCCCGCCATGACGGCGCCGTGCCGGGACCCCCGGGGACCCGCCCCGATGGCCACGCCCCCGCGGACGGCCACGCCCCCTCCACGCCCCCGTGTCACCGCCTTATCGGGACCCCGGGGAACCCGCCGAGGTGGCCACGCCCATGGCCACGCCCCCCCGGCGGCCACGCCCCGCGCGTCACGGAGGTGTCCCCAGCGCGGGGGACACGGGGACAGGGGGTCCCGGGGGTGGCGCAGGGAACACGACAGAGGCAGCGCGGCCGCTCACAGCCTTTACTGGGGTCCCCGGGCCCGCCCCGCCCCCCTGCGCCGCGCTGACGTCAGCGGCGCCGCCGTGACGTCAGAGGAGGGGGCAGGAAGAGAGGGGGACATCCCGGTGACCCCGGGCGGAGATCCCGGTCGGGGTTTCCGCGGGGTTGCAGGGCACGAGTGGGGCTGCGGGACACCGGGGTTATTGTGGGGTCACCGGGGTGATTGTGGGGTCACTGCTGTTACTGGGGGGCTGCGTGCTCTTGTGGGGTCTCTGTGTTAATGCAAGGCCAGGGGCACTACGGGGGCTGGGTGTTATTGTAGGGTCGCTGGTGTTATTGTAGGGTCGCCGGTGTTATTGTAGGGTCAGGGGCACTACGGGGGCTGGGTGTTATTGTAGGGTTTCAGGCACTAAAGTGGCTGTGTGTTATTGCAGGCTCTCAGGCACTACAGGGGCTCTGTGTTATTGTAGGATCTCTGGTGTTATTGTAGGGTCGTGAGGGCTGTAGGATCTGGGTGTTATTGTGGGGTCACTGCTGTTATTGTAGGGTCAGGGGCACTTCAGGGGCTCTGTGTTGGTGTAGGGTCCCTGGTGTTATTGTAGGATCTCAGACATTTCAGGGGCTGGATGTTCGTGTAGAGTCACTGGTGTTACTGTAGGGCCTCCCCAGTGACAGCCCTATATCACGTCACACAAGTCTTCCCAGAGGATTTTCTGAGCTGCTCCAGGGAATCCCTGGGTACCCCTCTGTTGTTGTAGGGTCCCCTGGTGCAGGTCTATCATTGTAGGGTCTCCCCGTGCCAGTTTGTTATCGTGGGGTCTCCCTTTCAGGGTATGCTGCTGCAGGGTGTCCCCACACTGGTTTGCTACTGTGGGTTCTCCCCTTTTGTTATTGTAGGGTCTTCCCTTCGAGGGTGTCATTGTGGGGTGTCCCCACCTCAGTCTGTTACTGTGGGGTCTCCCCTTGCTGGTGTGTGTTATTGTGGGGTCTCCCCATGTTTCTTTGTTACTATGGGATGTCCCAATAACTCTTTGTCATTATGGGGTCCCCCCATAATGGTTTGTTACTGCAGGGTGTCCCCATGCCAGCAGGTGCCAGCACACCTCACGCTTCACCTGCTGCTCTCGTGGGGTGGCCTGGGTGCTTCGGGGGTCCTGGCTGCCCCACCCTGGGGATGGCACGGGGACAGCAGGGGTCAGTGTCCCACTGTGTGTCCCCAGGCATGGGACCCCCAGCTGACCCAGGGACAGGGGGTAGAGACTGTAGGGACCGGGCAGGGGGGACAGGGAGGGATGCTGGGAAGCGGGGGATGGGGTGCCATGGTAATGGAGGGATGCCAGGGGATGGGGCACCTGGACTGGGAGAGGGGGTGTCAGTGTGGTGGAAGGATGAAGTGCCAGGGTGGACGGGGATGCCAGGGAATGTGGTGCCAGGACATGGGGGATGCCGGGATTGGGGTGTCAGAGTAGTGCGGGGGGTGCCAGGAGATGGGATTTCAGGATGCCAGGGGATGGGGCACCAGGAGAGTCGGGAAATGCCAGGGGATGGAGTGCCGGGTTAATAGGAGGATCCCAGTGGATGGGATGTCAGGATGCCAGGGGATGGGCTGCCAGGGGAGCGAGGGGATGCCAGGGGATGGAGTGCCAGGAGGAAGGGGAGTGCCAGGCAATGGGGTGGCAGGGCCGGTGTCTGATCCAGGGCGGTACGGGAGTGCCAGGACATGGCGTGCCAGGCCACGGGATGGGGGTGCCGGGGGGATGCCGGGGAGGGCCTCGTGCCCTCCCCCAGGACCCCAGTAATTTGGGCACCCCGATGGCCCCCACCCACCCGCCCCAGGGGACAGACATGTGGCCGGCACAGCTGCAGGGACCCGAGGGACCCCGGGGGACTCTTCCCCCCCGCTCCCAGGGTGGTGGGCGCCCGAGGGCGGGGGCCTTACGTGGGGGGGGCACGGGCAGGCGGGCGGTGGGCACCATGGCCTCCAGCAGGACGCTGTCCTCCTCCGTCAGCCCCCGGAGCCGGGCACCCACCGCCTGCGCCACCGCCGCCCCCTCCTCCTTCCTGTGGGTGCTGCGGGCGCCTGTCCCCCGCCACCGCCACCCCGCCGGCCGCACCACCACCTGCGTGCACCTCCGTGTCACCCCGTGCCAGGCGGTGCCACCCCAGCAGCCAGCCCGCCACCTGCGCGCAGCCCCGTGTCACCTCGTGCCACCCCACCACCCGCACCACCCAGTGCCACCTGGTCGCCACCCTAACAGCCACCCCAGCACCTGCGTGCCCCCCCGTGCTTCTCCATGCCCCCCAGCGCCACCCGGTGCCACCAGCGCCGCCCACCCCTGCCGTGCCCACCTGGCCGTAGGGCTCCATGGCGGTGCCCCCCAGGAAGGCACCCACCTCCTCCTGCACCAGGCTCTGCTGGCCCTGGGGGTCCTGCAGCCGCACCAGCCTCACCCCGGGGGCCACGGGCTCGGCGGGCAGGTCCCCCCTGGCCCCCAGGACGAAGGCCAGGGTGGGGGGCACAGGCAGGTTGGCGTGAGCCGCCAGCACCCAGCGGGTGACCAGCGTGTCCTCGAGGCGGTGGGCGAGCGGGACCGAGCCCCCCGTGGGGCAGTCGAGGTCACGGGCCAGCTCGCCCACCCAGCCGCCCTCTTGGTCCCCCGGCGCGAAGGTGCCCGTCACGTAGTTGGCGCGGCGGGGGGGCACGAAGGTCTCCAGGGCGCTGTGCCCCCCCACCTTGAAGGAGACGCCCCGGGAGAGCAGCAGGGACCAGGCGCCTGGGGACGACTCCGATGGCACCCGGCTGGCCCAGGTGGGGGACAGGCACAGCACCATGGCACCTGTGGGTGGGCGCGGGGGTGGGCGGGGGGCACCCCTCACACCCCCTGCCCCAAACTGCCCCCCATGGGGGTGGTGCTGCGGGGGGTGGGGCGTGCATTTGCTGCTGAACTGGTTTGTACTGGGAATAATGGGACACGGGGGGGCTGCTGCCACCCTGCTCCCCTGCCTCAGTTTCCCTCACAGTCCGGGTCAGGCAGCACAGGCGGGTGTGGGGACCCCTGCTGTTGGCTCAGGGGTGTCTCGTGCGGGGTGGGGACAAGGGGATGGCACCCACCTGGGCAGCGGGTGCCACCCTCCAGCAGTACCGGCAGGAAGGGGATGGGGGAGCCCAGGATGCAAACTGTCATGTCCAGCGGGCCAAATCCTGCCAGGAAGGGAAGGGTTAACAGCCCCGGGATGGGGACCCTGGCGCCACCCTGCCCTGGTGGCACCCCAGTGTGGCTGGGAACCTCCAAACCGCCTGTGTCCCTAGCCTGGCGCCGCATCCCCATTGCCATCCTTATCCCTGCCACCCCCCTATCCCAGCCTGGCACTGTGCCCACATCACTCTCCCTGCCACCCCCGTGTCCCAAGCCTGGCACCGATCCCATAACACTGTCCCTGCCACCCCCGTGTCCCAGCCTGGCACCATTCCCGCATCACCAGCCCAGTCCCTGCCACCCCCGTGTCCCAGCCTGGCACCGTGCCCCCCGTGTCCCCAACCCGTGCGGGGCTCCGCGGAGCAGTCCAGCGTGGGGGGCAGCCCCTCCTGGCACAGGGCGCTCTGGAGCCGCTCGTAGGCGTGGGTGGCACTGTCGGGGTCCCCGCTGTCCCCGGGCACTTCGCCATCGGGGGCCTCGTCCTCCAGCCAGCCTGGGCACAGCGCCTCGGGCCCTGCCCACTCCTGCTCCTCCGGGCTGGGCACCCGCTCCGGGCTCGGCTGGGACGTCGAGAGCTGCGGGAGCAGGGACAGGGCTGGCACGGGGCTGGCACGGGGGTAAGGGGGTGGTCTGGGGCTGGCGTGGGGTTCAGGGGCTGTCACGGGGCTGTCACGGGTCTGGCACGGTGCTGGCACGTGGACAGAGCTCGGGTGGGCACGGGGCGGACACGGGGGGGCTGGCACAGGACACAGCGGGCGCCGCTGCCCGCCCGTGGGGTGGGGGAGTCGGGGCGCTGGGGGGCTGCGGGCGCCGGGCACGGCGCCACCGCCTCGGGGACAGCGGGGCAGTGCCAGCCGCCGGGGCCGCCAGCTCTCGGACAAAGCGTCCCCTTGTCCCCGCGGGGTCACGCGGCGGGTGGGCACAGCACGCCGCGCTGCCCCGCGCCAGTGCCCGGCACCGCCGGGATCCCGGGATGGGGCACCCACCTCCGCCCGGACCCCCCACCCGGGGGCCACTCACCATCCTGGTGACACAGGGGCTGCAAGAGAAGGACAGGCAGAGTCAGCGCGGCTCCCTGGGGACATGCCACCCCTCCCCGGCCACCCCCAGGCCGTGCTGGGAGCCCCAACCCCGGCTCTCTTGGGGGCACCCGTCCTGCAGCAGCCACCAGAGCCTGGCACACTTCCTGGGGCACACCTCGGTGCCAGCTCCGTGTCTTCACGTTGTACCCTCAGTGCTAGTCCCACTGTCCCCAGACTGACTCCTCGGTGCCAGTCCCTGTGGCCCCAGCTTGTCCCCTCGCTGACAGGTCTGGCGGCCCCAGATTGACCCCTCGGTGCCAGTCACGGTGGCCTCAGGTTGTCCCCTCGGTGCCAGCCCCGGTGGCCCCGGCACCTCCGGCTTAGTGTAATCCTGTGCCAGCTCAGCACAGCCGGGGGCACCTCCCGGTGCCGGGGGTGCCAAGGTGCCCTGGGGGTGCAGACCCAGGACCGGGTTGTCCCCACCCCCTCCGGGTGCCCCCGCTCCCGGCAGGTGCCCGGCACAGCCGGACACAGAGGGAAACTGAGGCACGGAGCTGAGCGGTGCCCGCTGGCAGCCAGGGTGTCCCCAAGCCCGGCACCCGGTGACAGCGTTAGGGGACACACGGCTCGTGGCGTGGCACAAGGACCCCCCAAAACCCAGTCACGGGGGTCCCTCGAAGTCCGCGCCCGCCCCAGCCTCGGGACCGCCCTGTCCCCCTCCATCCCCAGCTGGCAGGTGCTGCTGCTGTCCCCAGGCTGGGACAGCTGTGTCGCCCGGTACCTTGGGGTGGGAGCCGTGGCCTGAGAGCGCGCAGGGGACGAGGGCTCGGGGACGCCTGGCACAGGGGACACCGGCCGGTCTGGCCTTTAAACCCCCCCCCGCACCACCCCGGGGTGCCAACCCCCGGCCCCGTGCCCCGGATTAGGCGACACAGAGCCCCATTGTCCCCTCTGCCACCTCGCGCCAGGCGCTGGCACCCCTGTCCGTGTCCCTGTCCCCGTCACCAGCGAGCTGCCTCAGCGGGAGCCGGGGCGTGGCTCAGCCGGACGGAGCTCTCCTGTCTCCCTGTCCCGCGTCCCCTGGCTGGGCACGCCCCTCGTCCTCCCCCCCTTCCTGTCCCCCTGTCCCCAGCGTGGCGGAGCTGCCAGCACGCACGTCCCCCGGCTTAGTTCCAGCTGCCCGCGGCGTCAGTGTCACTGTCACCGTCACCGCCACCGGCAGGCACGGGGCCACCAGCGCGGCTGCCGCGCCGCAGAGCCCTGCACGCGCTGTCACCCGCGCCCTGTCATCCGCACCAGCCTGCCACCCTCATTGTCACCTGAATGTCACGTGCACCCTGTCACCCACAACCCAGCACACACCGTCACCTGCACCACCGCCAGGGTCTTGTCACCCGCACCTGTCACTCACACCTGTCACACACATGGTCACCCATGCTGCGACACTGCAGCATCACCGGCACCCTGTCACCTGCACTGCCACCTGCACTGCCACCCACCGCTTGTCACGCACATCACCCACCTGTCACCTGTACCCTGCCACCCGCACCGTGTCACCCGCACTGCCACCCTGACCCCGTAACCTGCACCATGCCACCGCGCTGTCACCCGCACCCTGCCACCCTCACCGCGTCGTGCACATCATCACCCACCTGTCACCTGCGCTGTCACCTGCACCGTGTCACAGGTGTGCGCACACACCCCGACCCCCCTCCCGCTGCTGCCGCCCCCCGGCACCGGCACCCCCAAACCCACCCACATCCCCCCGCTGCCGCCAGCACCCACCGCCGGTGCCGGTGCCGGTGTCTGTCGGTGTCGCTCTGTCCTGCTGTTGTCGCACCCGGCAGCGGCTCTGCCCACTCCGGTCCCGGCGGTGTCGGGGTCTGGCGGGGTTTCCCGGTGTCGGTGCCGGTGCTGTCGCAGCTCCAGCAGCGGCTCTGCCCGCTCCGGTCCCGGCGGTGGCGGCGGCGCCGTGTCCTGCTCGGGCGGGGCGGGGCGGGGCGGGACCGGGGGCACCGGGGGGACCGGGACACCGAAGGGGATGGCAGAACGAAGGGGACAGCGGGGGCGAGGGTGGCGGGGCCGAGGTGCCACCGCTGGGAGACGGGGACAAGGGGCTGGGGTGGGGAGCGGGACAAGGGTAGGGGGATAGGGGACAAGTGACCGGGGGCAGGGACGGGGCCAGCCCGGGGTCACCCGGGGCCGGCTGTAAAACTGACACCGCGGAGCAGAAATGTCAGGGCAGGCCCCGGGAGCTATTCGCGACCTCCCCGCACGACATGGAATGGGACACGGGGAACGGCATGGCGTGGCACGGCGTGGCACCCAGGGAATGGCACCCAGGGAATGGCATGGCGTGGCACGGCACGGCACAGCCAGTGGGGACATGGGACAGCCGTGACCCCATCCCTGCCACTGCCACCCTCCACGAGAAGTGGCACAAATGTGTCACCCTCCCCCGTGTCCCCAGTGGGAGCCCGCCCTTCGGGGTGTGACCGGGGACCTCGGGGTGGCAACAGTCACCCGGCAACCGCCCGGTGCTGCTCCCGACGGTGTCCCCAGGGTCCCCGGCTGGGGACATCCCTGGACTCTACCAAGCATCCTGTCCCCTCGTGTCTTCCCGTGTCCCCAGGCTGTCCCTATGCTCCCAGGACTGGGATTCGGATGCCCGGTTGCCTCCGTGTCCCCTCCTGTCCCCTCGCTGTCCCGGGAGCCGCTGTCTATGCCGAGGCTCTTCCCCTCCCTCTCCCTCTCTAGCCCTGTGTCCCCAGGCCCAGGACATGAGTCCATGTTCCCTCTGTCCCCCGTGTCCCCTTGCCCGAGCTCTACCCCTTGCCCGGCTTGTCCACCTGCACGGGTTGTTCTCTTGCCCGGGATGTCCCCTTTCCCAGGATGTCCCCTTTCCCAGGATGTCCCCTTTCCCGGGACGTCCTCCGTTCCAGGGAAGTCCCTCTGCCCGGGACCTTGTCCTTTCCAGGGAAGGCTCTCTGCCCGTGGTGTTCCCTTGCCCGGGACTATCCCTTTGCCTCGGTATCCCCTTTCCTGGGACGTTCCCCTTTCCAGACATGTCCCTTTGCCCGGGGTGTCACCTTTCCCGGGGTGTTCCCCTGCCCGGAATGTTTCCCTGCGCAGCGTGTCCCCTCTCCACGGCTGTCCCCGTGCCTCTGTGACACCGCCGTGGCTCTCTGCTGTCGGCCCCCCCTCCATGCTGTCCCCTCTTCCCGTCCCTGCGGGGCTGGGACCCCGCGCCCGAGGGGACAGCGGGACGCGGGGACAGCCCGGCTGCAGTGAGTCCTCCGAGCCGGCAGGAAGCGCCACGCGCGCCGGGGCCGCTCTGGGCGGGCGCGCGGGGCGGGGCGGCGCGCGGGCGGCCATGGCGGACACCGAGAAGCTCAACCTCGACTCCATCATCAGCCGCCTCCTGGAGGGTGAGCGGCCCCCGCCGCCCCCCGAGCACCGGGACACCCTCCCTCCGCTCGGGGAACCTCTCGGGGCCGGCTCGGGCCGTGTCCCGACGCCGCGGGGGGGTCCCCGGCCTGGGCCTGGCGGGGGCGGGTTAGGCCGCGGTGGTTTGGGGGGGGTCAGGGCTGGGAAAGGTTTTGGGGGGTCCCCATGGGGTCTGGGGAGCTGGAGATGAGTCCGGAGGACGTGGAGGATATGAGGAGGGATCCCGAATAGGTCTGTGCCCCGCGGGAGGGGGCGGGGGGAAATGGGGGTCCCCAAAGGGTCTGTGCCCCGCCGAGCGAGGGGGAACGGGAGCGTACCGGGGCGCCCCGGAGGGTCTGGGGCTGGAGCTGGCCTGGAGGGCGTGGAGGATGCGGGCAGGGAGGGCTGGGGCAGGTAGAGCAGCGGTTCCTGGGGTGCTCTGGGGGTTCCGGAGCGCCTGGGGATCCCTGATCCTGTTCTCTGTGCTGGGAGCAGTCCAAGGGTCGCGGCCGGGGAAGAACGTGCAGCTGACGGAGAACGAGATCCGCGGGCTGTGCCTCAAGTCCCGGGAGATCTTCCTGAGCCAGCCCATCCTGCTGGAGCTGGAGGCACCCCTCAAGATCTGCGGTGAGCCCTGCATGGCTGCTGGGCAGCACTGGGGTGGCGTGGGGGGCTGCAGGGTGCCACTCACAGCCTCTGTCCCCCCCCAGGTGACATCCACGGGCAGTACTACGATCTCCTGAGGCTCTTTGAGTACGGGGGCTTCCCCCCTGAGAGCAATTACCTGTTTTTGGGGGACTATGTGGACCGGGGCAAGCAGTCTCTGGAGACCATCTGCCTGTTGCTCGCCTACAAGATCAAGTACCCCGAGAACTTCTTCCTGCTGCGGGGCAACCACGAGTGTGCCAGCATCAACCGCATCTATGGCTTCTATGACGAGTGTGAGTGCCCGGCCTGTGCCCCCCAACACCCCATCCATGGGCTCCCCCTTTCCCGGTGTTGTCCCAGCGCTGTCCACACTGACCCCACCTGTGAGCTCCCTCCCTCCCTCCCCGCCGTGTCCTCCTGCCCTTCCATGTCCTGCCCACCCCCACGCTGTCCCCAGGGTCACCTCCAAGCCCCCTTTGTCCCCCGCAGGCAAGCGAAGATACAACATCAAGCTCTGGAAGACCTTCACCGACTGCTTCAATTGTTTGCCCATTGCTGCCATCGTGGATGAGAAGATCTTCTGCTGCCACGGAGGTGGGAATGGCCCTTCCCAGGGATTTGGGCGGGCTGGAGGAGGGATGGGATCTCCCTGCTGAGCTCTGGGGGTGCCCCTTTCCCACAGGGCTGTCCCCAGACCTGCAGTCGATGGAGCAGATCCGGCGGATCATGCGGCCCACGGATGTCCCGGATCAGGGGCTGCTCTGTGACCTGCTCTGGTCTGACCCCGACAAGGACGTGCAGGGCTGGGGGGAGAACGACCGTGGGGTCTCCTTCACCTTCGGGGCCGAGGTGGTGGCCAAATTCCTGCACAAGCACGACCTGGACCTCATCTGCCGGGCACACCAGGTACCACCGGGACCCCCAGATACTGGGGACACGTGGGTTTGGGTCTCCAGTGGGTGTCAGGGGTTCTACCCCGAGTATTTCCCCTTCGAGGGCAGTGTGTACCCCAGGAGTGTGTGGGTTGGAATTCTGGGGGTGCTTGCCCTGAGATTAGGGTATTTACCCCTCAGCATTTGGGTATTTGCTCTGATGTCAAACTGTTTGCCCAGGGGGGATGAATAGTCAGCCTTGGCCGAGGCTGTTCCTCCCAGAGGTTGGATAATCACTCTGGAGATGGATACTTGCCCTGGGGCAGTGCGTGTTTGTCCCAGCCGTGGCTATTTGCTGCAGGGCAGGGAGTATTCACCCTGGTACAGGGGGCTGGATATTCAGCCTGGGGGACTGGGAATTTGCCGGGGCAGGAGGATACCGGCCACGGGAGGTGGATTTTTGCCAACCCTGTGCCCCCACAGGTGGTGGAGGACGGCTACGAGTTCTTCGCCAAGCGCCAGCTCGTCACCCTCTTCTCGGCCCCCAACTACTGCGGCGAGTTCGACAACGCCGGCGCCATGATGAGCGTGGATGAGACCCTCATGTGCTCTTTCCAGGTGAGCCCAGGCAGGGGAAACACCCCCAATTCCTGCCGGGAGGGCTGCAGGGAGCTCTGCCCTCCTGGGGAGTGGAGAGCTGGGGCGGGAGCTCACCGATTTCTTTCCCCCTTCTCCTGCAGATTTTGAAGCCGGCTGACAAGAACAAAGGCAAATACGGGCAGTTCAGCGGGCTGAACCCCGCCGGGCGCCCCGTCACCCCTCCCCGAAACTCTGCCAAAGCCAAGAAATGAGCTGGGAGCCGCCCCCGTGCTGCCCACGCCCCCCAGCCCCCCGCCCAAGCATCAGGTCGCTTTTCTTTCGACTCGTTTTTTTATTTGTAGGATCCTGCCCCCCCCCCGCCACGCTCCACCAAAGCAAATCCAGGCCCAGGGCAGGGAGTGCTGGGGCGAGGGGGGAGCCCAGAGCCCAGCCCTGGGGTGGCAGCGGAGGGGGGGGCAGGAGGATTTTTTGAGGAATAAACTTGTAATGGGTCACTGGGGGGTGCCTGTCCTGGTGGTTGGATGGAGGCTGGGGGTGGCAGTGACTCGGGGCTCAGCTTTCTCCATCGCTGTCCTCCGCCAGCACCTCCTGGGCGGTGGCTGGGCCAGGCTTTCCTGGTGTCATCACCGAGCCAAAAAACAGGGAGCGAAACTGTGGGGAGAAATGGGGGGGTCAGGAGGAGGCTCTGCCCACCCCCTGCCCCCAGGCACACCCATCCCTCACCTTCTTGTGTGGGGGGGTCCCTGGCACAGCTCCTTCCTCCTCCTCCTCCTCCTCCTCCTGGGGTTTGCTTTTGGCTGGCTGGGGGGTGCGCAGGGGGAAGGTGGGGCTGGGGGGCCCCTCTGAGCATCCCTCACTGGTTTCCATGGCAGCCATGTAGGACTCCAGGTCGTCAGCGAAGTCGTCTGACGGGGCGGGCAGGTGGGACACGCTGATGGGGACAGAGCAGGATTGGGAATGTTCACTCTGCTCCCTGCCCATGGCCGCTGGAGGGCTCATCTGAGACATACCCATTGGTCGAAGGGGACTGGGACTTGCTTTCCAGGTCAGAGAGGGTGGCCAGCACCAGGTGAACCTCCAGGACAGCGTCATCCAGGGTGAAGATCACCGGCCTGGGGACACAGAGGGGCTGAGGGGGTGCCAGGGACAGGGCTGGCACGGGGTGGGGACGTGGTGACCGCTCCTACCTGCCAGGCTCATCAAAGTGGATGGTGAGGGGCAGGTTGGAGGCCTCGGCAAAGCTCAGCAGGCCCTGGGGACAAAGGGGAGGGTGAGGGGGGCCAGGGGGTGACACAGGGCTGGGGGGCTTAGGTGGGGACTCACACGGAATTCCTTGAGGCAGAAGGTGATGCAGGAGCCAGGGGCCACGGCCACCGACTGGAACTCGTCCTCAGCCAGCCACAGCTCCGTCACCATCGTCTTGCTCGGCTCTGGAGAGGGGAACGGGGTGCGTGGGGGGCTGGAGGGCACCCCAAGGTGGGGAGGGGACCCCCTTAACCCTGCAGGACTCACCTGCGTCGTCCTCCACGTAGTTCCGCAGGCTGATTTTGCCACCAGGGCCAGTCCCCAGTGTCACCTCAGCCAGCGTCGGGGGAAAGTGAACCACGGCCTCTGCCAGCACCCTGAGGGGCACAAGAGGGGGCTGAGCACCCCAAATCCTGTGGGGCTGGCTGGGCTGTCTCCTTCCATGCGCCCTCATCCCACTCTGCCCCCCCCAGGGCCACCCCCGTGGTGTCCCCCTCACCGTGCCGGGGCGCAGAGGCGGCTGGCGCAGCGCTGGGTGTCGAACACGGCCTGCAGCCGCTCGCACTCCTGGAAGGCCAGGTTGTGTGTCTTGGTGACACCTGGCAGGGGGACAGCGGCTCAGCAGGGCAGCAGGCGGTGCCAGCACGTCCCCGCTGTGCCGTGCCACCCCCCAGGCCTGTCCCCGCTGGCACTCACCGTACTTGCAGTGGAGCTGCAGGACCAGGCGGCTGGCACGGGGCTTGAGCAGGATGAGGCATTTCCCCACAGACTTCTCCAGCGAGGGCAGCGAGCGGAAGACGCCCAGGAAGGACTGTGGGGATGGATATGGGGACTGTCACCTGCCTGGGGCCCCTGGAACAACGAGGAGCTCTGGGGGGGCCGGGGCAGGGCACTGCACCTTCATGTGCACTTTGCATCGGAAGAGCTCCGTGTCGGGCCCGGCGCTGCCCGGCTCGTACAGGTGGAAGAAGAGGGGAGCGAAGAGGAAGGAGGCGAAGGCAGAACGGGAGGAGTTGACAGCACGGAGGGACAGCTGGGGACACAGCCACAGTGTTGGCACTGCCTGCACGGAGGCAGGGGGGCGCAGGTGCCCCCCAGCTCCCGTCCAGCCCCCCGGTGCTGCGTACCCCACTCTCGGTGGGCTCCAGGTAGAGCTCGTCGCCGATGCGGGACAGGGAGTGCACGGCTCGGCCGAGGACTGCGAAGGACAGGCGTGGGGGTGAGGCCGGGCTCCCCGGGCGTGCCGCGCTCCCCGGGCCCCCAGGCCCCGCTCACCTTTGACGTTGCCGCCGGCGATGACACATTTCATGGCACCGGCACCGGCACCGGCACCGGACGGGCACGTGGGGCCCCGCCCCCGCCTGCAGACCACGCCCCTCAGCGGAGCGTGCGGGCTAGGCCACGCCCCCAGCGGGCTCTGCTCGGGCCTCGCCGCCCCCCCCGCCGCGGTTGTTGTTCCCTCCCCGCCCCGCCGGTGCCGTCTCTCCCCAGCGGCCCCGCAGTGGTGTCCCCCAGCCCCCCTGCCCAGTCCCTTCCCGGGGGTTCCGGCCTCTTCCCCGCCGCGCCCCGCCGCTGCCTTCCCGGCTTCCCGCGCCCGCCCTCCCAGGCCGCCTTCCCATTGGCCGGGAGCTCCGCTCCGTCCCGCCCCCGCCACCAGCCGATTGGTCCGCGCTGAGGGGGAGCGTGACGGCGCGGCCCGATGGCCTCACGTGACCGGCGGGAGGGGCGGGGCCTCGGCTCCGCGGCCCTCGGGGCTGCCCCGCCAGAAAGCCCCGCCTCCAACCGCGCGCCATTGGGTGACGGTTGGAGTGACGTGGGGCTCAGCCAATGGGGCTTCGACGCGCCCCTCAGCGCGGCTCTAGGCGCTCAGCCCCGCACCGGCTCCTTCCCGGGGCCTCCCGACCCGTCCTGGGGCTCTGCCGGGGTCGTTCCGTGCTTGTGCCTCCCAGCATCCTGGCCTTCGCTTCGTTCCCGGCGGCATCTCGGGCGAGGCTGCCCTTCTGCTCACTGCCTGCACCTCCCGGTCCCTTTGCCGCTTCCCGCATTCCCGGGATACGCTGCTCCCCAGAAGGGCTGCAGCTCCCTGGGGCTGCTCCAGTGCTTCCCGAATCCCGATGTTTTGGGGATCCCTGTCTCCCGAGATAGGGATTTTGGGGATCTCTATCGCCACTCCCATAGATTAATGCTCGATGGTTCTCCGTGCTGGAGGTGCTGCTGGCTGTGCATCCCATAGAATCAGGGAATGGCTGGGCTTGGAAGGGACCCTATCCAGCTCCATCCCCTGCCATGGGCAGAGACTCCATTCACTACACCAGGCTGCTCCAAGCCCCATTCAACACTTCCAGGGATGGATTTTTGGGGGTGTCCCAGAATTCTCCAGTGGGGGTACAATGCAAATTCTGGGCTAGCCAGGTGAATCCATGGGTGGTCCATAGAATCCCAGAATGTTTTGGGCTGGAAGGGACCTTAAAGCCCACCCCATCCCACCCCCCTGCCACGGGCAGGGGCATTTCCCACCGTCCCAGTTGCTCCAGCGTGGCCGTGAGCACTTCCAGGGATGTGAACGGGCTCAGCCAGCAGCCTGTGCTCGCAGCCAGCCCGGAGCGACCGGCTCTGCAGCGGCGGCCTCGAGGGAGCCGGGGGATGTGGCTGCGAGGAACTCGAGTCGTGCTCACAGCAGGGTCCTCCAGCCGGCTCCCGCCTGCCGCTGGAGCAGCCGCTCCCCAAGTCCCTCCTCCCGGCCCCGGTGGCCCCGGAGCCGAGCCGAGGGGCCCCGCTGCGGAGCAGGGCTGGCACCTGAGCAGGGGGAAACGGGCAGGGGATCGCAGAGCCCTTTCCCCATGGCTGCCGTCCTCCAGCACACGGTGACAGCCTCTCCTCCTCCTCCTGTCCCTGTCTGCTGCGCTCGGTGCCTTTTGTCCGGGATTTTGGGCCCGGCCTGCCGGCCGCGTCCCCTCAGGTACAGGAACCCCTGTCCCTCGTGTTCGGGGCTGCGCTGGGACGGCCAGCTCGGCGCTCCAGGGACTCCCAGGCCTGCCTTGGCCTGGGCTCGGGCTCCAGCCGGATCCGGCTCCTCCACTCCTGGGGTGAGCGCTGGCTACTCGCCTTCCTCCCGGGAGGAGGAGGAGGACGGGATGGTGTGGGAGCCTCCGTTGCAGCTCTGGCCGAGCAGCCGGGCTCCTCTGGAGCCGGCGTCCCCAGGAGGGGCTCTGGCCTCGGGGCTCGGCGTTTTATGGGGCTGCGGAGAGGACGCAGCTGGCTGCGGTCGTGACACACACACCTCAGCGGGGGCCAGGGCCAGGCCACCCCTCCCTCTTCCCGCCAGCGCCGACCAGGGAACGGGCTGGATCCGGGCCGGGAGCAGAGCCTGGCAGCCCTCGGGGGGCTCTGCCACCCGGGCTCGGCCGTGCCCGCGCCCGGGACTCCCCCTGGGGCTGGGGACTTCACCCAGGGACGGCAGGGAAGGTGACGGGGCTGTTCCCTCGCACCCGGCGGGCTCCGGGCCGTGTCCCAGCGTCCTTCCCGCTCCTCCGGCTTCCTTCCCGGCACATGGCACGGCGCCCTCGCCCAGGCGGCGGCTCGGGGAGACAGACGGCCACAGCTGGGCTCCTGCTGCCAGCCCGGCAGGAGGGGACACGCCGAGCTCCGGATGGCTGCGCCGTGCCCCTGCCTGCGCCCCAGGGCTGTCCCCAAGGAGCCGGGCGCTGCCGGAGCCCCGCTTTGGGGCTACAGCCGGCGTTTCTGGGGCCGGTCAGCCCCCCGTCCCTCCCTCCTCCGGCTGCCGGCCGCAAAGGTCAGCAGTGGGAGGCCGGGCTGGCCCGGGCTGGAGGTGAGCTCAGTGCCCGGCGACGGGCCCGAGGGCAGGGCGGGCACGGCCTCACCCACGCGGAGCCGCTGCGGGCACCGGGCGAGGAGGAGGAGGAGGAACAGGATGTGGGGATGAGGCTTCCCAGCGGCTTGACCTGCCTGTGCCCTGTGCCCGCTGTGTCCTGGGGCGGGGGCTCTGTCCTGGCACCGCTGGCTGGCACAGGGAGAGCGGCTTGGGAAGGCGGGAGCCGCGTCTGCCGGCCACGCTTCCCTCCTCCTCCTCCTCCTCTCCTGTCTCAGGTGTTGGCCCAGCGGGAGCCGTGGCAGCTGGAAAACTCCCCAGACCGAACCGCAGCGCTGGGATTTGGGGAGGGGAGAAGGCAGCGAGGGGCAGCCCCGCCGCCTCGGCAGCCTGGAGACCCCCGGGGACGGGCCGGCGGCTTTTCCCAACTGCTCCAGCGCCGCTGGCGGGATCTGCTGGCTCCGGGGGGGAAACCAGATACCCTGCCCTGCGGCTGGGGGGGCGAGGGGCCGGCCCCGCGCCGAGCGGACCCCCCCAGACGCGCTGCCCGGGAGCCGGGCCGGGCTCGGTCCAGCCGTGGATGGTTCGGGCAGCTCCGTCCGACACCGGCGCAGCCCCTCCGGATCCTCAGGGCTGCGGAGCGTCCCCCATTCACCCGGGGGAGGGGATCCGGAGCCCCCCTCGTCACCCCTGACATGTCTGTTGGGCGCGTCCTCATGGATTCAACACCAAATCCGCACTTCCCGAGCAATAAATCAGCCCGCAGCACGTCCGTGTGTGGTTTATCCCTACGGGGGGTCCCCAAACTGCTGCTAATGACTTCAGCACCCAGCGTCCCGATGGATTTGGGGAAAGAGGGTCCTGCTGTACTCCGAGCGGGCACCCCGGGTCCCGGAGAAAGCCGGGAGGATGCCATGGCAGCCGGGAGGGCTCGGACCTGGCCAGGGCCGGGGTCTGGAGTGGAAGCGAATCCGCCTGTTACCTCCCGGCCCTTCCCGGCGCTCCCAGCGCCTTTGTTTTAAACAAAGCTTTTTTTGGGGGGAGCCAGGACGTTGCTCTCCCCGCCGAGAGAGCCCCCGCGGCAGCACCCACTCGTGGATCGGGGGCGCCAGGGGAAGGGACGAGGGGCTCTGGCTGTCGGGTCGCCCCTTCCCCTCCGGCGGCGGCTCCGCTTGGCCCTGGGGGTCTCCCCACGCCCCCCAGTCCACCCCGCTCACCCCCGCTGGGCTGCGGGGAACGCCGCGGTCATTGCCAAGGGCCCCGCGGGCGCCGGGACGGGGATTGTCCTAACGGGGGAGGATAATGGGGAAAAAAGCGGCTCTGGCACCCGGAGGAAAGGGGCTGGGGGGGTCCCTCCCCGTCCCCGCGTGGACCGGGGGCTCCGGGAGAAGCGAAGCCCTCCCTCGGGACGGAGGATCCCGCGGGGCTGAGCCGCCGCCGCCGCTCCGGGGGGCTCCGGTTGCGCCGCCGGGACCCCGCCGCGCTCCCCCCGCTCCGCCGCTCACCTGCCGCCGTCCCGGCGGGGCAGCGCCCGCCGCGCTGCG